AGACTGACCTTCAGAGTGTCCACCTAATAACTAGGACGAAATGAGGATTATAAATTAGTTTGGGGCATTATAATTAGAATTCACAGTTGATGATTAAGGTTAAGAATTAGATTTCGGGTTTTCATCACGAACTGACATCCGTTATAATGCCAAAACTCTATTTAGCCAAATGGATGGATGAATTTCGCGCCAATATCAGAGACCTGTTACTTTATGCGTCACTGGTTCGTCCATAAATTATAGTCTCGCCAGTTGAACTTTCGGGACTGTTTTAAATGAAGATATTATTCATATTGTGTTGTTTAATTACTTAAATTATTGCATTCTTGTATTTTCCTATTTGTAAGCTTTTTAGTGATGCGTAAACTATTGTTATAAGTTGTATGTTTCTAACATTACTGCCAATTAGTTTTGGATCATTTACTTAGTTCGCTTTCAATTGATGCATAGTTATTCCTATTTTGTAATTTCTCAATGTTGACGATAAGTGGTCAGAATTTTGATCTATATCAGTTAAATCATGAAAGTGGACTGTATAAGTAGAAAATTTCACCTGCTGTGTTGTATTTTGTTCTGACTATCAGGCGAGTGAATGTGAGAAAACTGCATTCTGGACTAATGTCAATAAATGGTATTCACGTATGTATTCTCACTATCATCGTCCTATTAGCTAGCCGAAAGTCATTGGTGCAAACAAGAAAGTCTAAACAAACTAATCAATACTTGCACTAGATCAATACAACAGCACTCCTAATTTCATGAGTCCCAAAAATAACTACAAGAAATCTGTTTTTTGACAGCACATCAACAATTCATGATGACTGCTTTTAGATTTGTGCTAATTCTCATAAACAACTATACCAAACAGTAATTTTCTTGCTCACAGTGGATTTCCGAGTACCTAGTGAAGAGTTTTGACTGATAAAGTTTGATTATATCGCAAAATAATGGGAATTAAATGTTTGGACATCTACTTATTTTATTTCTTTAAACACATAAACATTGGTACAAGTAGACACCAAACAGATATACGCCACATAAGTCATTCGATTTGTGTGAGGGCTGGGATACTCTCCGGGTGCCCAACCGTATCCACCAACCCCGTTAAAGTGCCGGACTTTCGCTTTCCGTCAGTTCTGAAGACAACACTCCCGCCGCCAGAAGGCAGTGAGTAGAACTGCCCTAGCAGTGGTTGCATGCATGTGAGAGCATTTCGAGACGATATTTAGACTTCAACTAAGTAGACCAAGGGTACCGTGCTCTCTGAGAAGCCCGGATGTCTTATATTCAAACCCAAATGGAACCATATGTTGAGTATTGTATCGAAGAATCCCAAACAACCCCAAAGTAACTATTATCTATTATTTATTAATTTCCAACCAATAGTCCAGTAATTGACATCAATTCATCATGAAAGCAGTCCCCCACCTCCCATACAAAACTAATTTTGTGTTTGATTTCTAAATAGTTCCATATTTCTTATAATCAAGAAACAATACAAAATAAATTGAAACAAAAACTCATTATCGATCTCAATGGAAAAAAATAGATTCAATTCTTATAAGATAGACTTTGACTAGGAAACTATATTATTTGATCCATAAAATAAATCTCGTTTATAAGCTTGCTGAAACATGCAGAATAATAAAAACACAATTATATATATATATATATTCTTCAATCTCTTTTCATTGTTAACAAGTACTGTTTACAAAAATGAACTTTTAAATTGTAGTTGTATACTTCACATCAAAGATCAAAGGTTATTTTGTATTAAAAGAAAAAAACAATAATGTAAGCATATAAATCATCCTGATTAAATCAACTTATATTCTTAAAAAGTATAATTATTTTATACATTCATAATAAATGTATTATCTAACCAATGTAGATTTATTATCTGAAATTTCGACATACTATTGACTACATAAACAAGGCAAGAAAAAAGCTTATACATGTCCTGAGCAACAGTAGCCTGTTTAGACAATAAGCAGACTCAAAAGAATAACGGATAAGTAAGAAAATGAAATTGATAAGATAATAATCACAAAGAACACATTAATATATAATAATAAGACCACAGGATTATTTATTTATTTAAACGCATAAGCATTGGTACAAGTAGACACCAAACAGATATACGCCACATAAGTCATTCGATTTATGCGAGGGCTGAGATACTGTCCGGGTGCCCAAACCGAAACAGGTGGTTTTCTTAGGGAGCCACACCGAACCTTTGACATAAAGGTCTAATCCACAAGGCAATGGAACAACGTTAGAAGATACATTCCCATGGTAGCCGGTGACCAAAAATTGGTTCATACGCCATTTGTTCCCTCAGGATCCTGGAGCCCATGTGCACCATTAGTTTGGAATCAGGATTTTCTAACTCCCCCAGGTGAATCCTCCATATCCACCAACCCGGTCAAAGCGCCGGACTTTCGCTTTTCGTCCTGCCAACTTCGTAAACAACCCACCACCACGAGAAGGCAGTGAAAAGGACTTCCCTGGCAGTGCTTGTATGCACGTGGCCATGTGAAAGAATTTCGAGAGAAGAGCGGGCTCTCCCCACTCTCGGTCGTACCAGGGCATAATATGACGGGGAATATTTATTGCTTAGGTTAAGGATGTTAAAAGTTTCAGTAACTCATTTGTCTTTGAAGTATATGCTGATGATATTGCCCATAAAGACAACGAAAGCTTCACAGTTAAATCAATCATCACAGAGAATTTAAAACTTACTGAGTTATTGATTTACTTATTCTCTTGTTTTCCTGTCTTACAAATTTTCTCACATATACTACCTCAGAGCATGGATTAACCTTTAAGTTTAATATAAACCTACCAAAAAATGGATGTTACAGTTTATGACAAACAAATCTACACATTACAATCAGTCTATTTTCCTGAAATCTCAAAATACCATCATAAAACAGTTAGTAACCACTCCTTTGTTTTTAAATAATTTTCTATATAAATTCATTCATAAAAGTTATACAAAAACAATTGCCAACTAATGATTATCAAGTATTTTTGAAAATAATCTAACATTCTGTTATCGGTTTCTCACAAGTAAACTCATCTGTTATCATTAAAACAAATGACAAATTAAATGTATGAAAAAATAGATCAGTTCTCTACCTACGATTAGGTAGTTTAATTTTAATCCTTAGCTGAGTGCTACTCGGAATTCGATAATGACAGTTAGAAAGTAATAACTATGAGAAACTTTCCCATTTTCAGCAGTCCCTCAGTTAATTTCACATCATAAACACTGAAGTAAGTATTCAGTGGCTTGGGGAAATATCATTACATACTTATCATATGATCATCCTCTTCTATTTCCATGAGTTATCTTTCACAGTTGCAAGATTATATAAACAAAACCCTCGGAAATTAAGTTTCTAATCAGTAAATCACATCACGAGATTGCCAGGCTTGTAAAGATCAGTTGCAAATATGCTAGACGTGATTTATTTAAAGCCTATTCACTGTAAAACCTTGATTTACCGTGAGAAACCTGAATTAGCGCAAGAGAATACTTTGATTTCACCGAATTCATAAATGTGCGGCATACAATGTATTAGCGACCTATCATTTCACCTGAGGCTATTACATAACCAACTATTCTAAGATAACTTAGTGGCCGAAATCGACCGAGTATATGATTATTTGGATCCAAGCTCATTGAAACGCCTGTTGCACAACAGGTCACCTCTTTTCTAACTGAATAAAAACATTAGTGACTTAAGCCGTCCACGCCTCCTGTTAGAAGGTTCATCCCATCCAATCACCGATTTTAAGAAAAGCCTGACACTAGTCGAATTAAACATCAATAAAACAGGATATTGGTATTGTGAGATATTACTTCTATTTCATATGGAGATTAGTGGATGGAAGTAGGTTAGCACAATTAGCGAAGAGATCCTGTGATTATTTTGTTTTCTCTAGGTTGTCGCATAGCTACGGTCCGTAACTAATATACTGTCGAGTTATGATGAAGACCTGTGCGCAAAGGACGTTGGCATTAAGCAAACGGCAATTAAGATTCCCTACCACTCGTTTCTTAGAAATTGTAGGGTGTGAAAGAAAAATCTATTGGTCGTTGATTTGTGTACTTGTTTTGTAATTGCAATTTAGGGGTTGAGAAAAATTTTTAAAAAAGGGTGGAGGGGGGTTTTAAAAAAATTGCCGTGGAGATAACGAGAACCAATATCCTGTCTATGTAGCGAGCATCCTTGAAAAAGACAGACAATGCAGAAAAGTTAACAAATGTAGTCTCTTCAGGAGTGTTACCAAACCGCTCCAAAAGCAGCACACATCTTGAGTACCAAATTATTTGTCAGAAGATTAACGTTCACCACAGTAAGGCACTGATTCAACAAACCTTATGTGCAAACACCAAGGCATACTGCAAGTATAACATGCTTTGCAACGACCGAAACGATCCAGGAGTATCGTTTTAATGACTACCTGTTGTCCCGCCTGTACCTGTCACGTTAAGACCGACATAGTACCTACCATTTGAAACCTAGTGCTGCATATAGCCGCCTCTCAGCTTAACGTTAGTGACCCGATAATGTAGAACATTGGTCATCCTTACTTGTCAACGGTAACCTTACATCCCATTTCAATATAAATAAACTTAGTAATTTACCGCCAGGCGACATTCATGACAAGTTTTATTTAATATATCTGAGGAATACGATAAACTCAAGCTTACTACACACTAGGAATTTCCCGTTTCTATTGAGTTCGTAGGTGAGAACCGAGGAAACTATAGCTTGTTTAAAACCACTTCGAAACCCTCGTATTTGGACACCTTCTTAAGTAGAGTTCCGTCAAACCATTGTGAGACTAAGGAGCAGAATCCTACACAGCCAATCAAGACAAGTAGAAGGAATGTTCAGTACCCAAAAGCTGTCAAGAAAACAAATTATTAGTGATAATATATTGACAAATGCAGTGGTCAATAAACATTCAGGTTATTTACAATAGTTTCAACTTGAAGGATGCAATAGTGTTTTCGCAGTTACGGAATCTGGGAAGAGTTGGTGATAATTTATTAAAGGAACGTAGGCTGCAGTAATCAACCGTCCGGAGAAATAGCGACCATGTAACATGTTTACGCATTGAGTTGCAACTGCTATACTAGGACATTTGACGTAAACATTTCCTTGGGCACTGGTGCGATCAACAAAAATGTGAAGACATCCGCCGGCCTTGGTACATTCCTCAATAACATCGTCGCGTATTTCTTCGAAAACCGAATGAGTAGCAACATGTGGATCAAACATATTGGATAACATAAAGCATTGTGTGCACACGGGAGGAGCAATTGCGGATGATGAACTAACACTTCCAGCTGAACCCAGTATCGGGTTGTTTTGCCCGATATGTAGTTGAGCAAGGGCAGCTTTGGGGATCTCTAAGCCAGTGCCTTCAGCGAGTTTTGCCATCAAAGCCAATCTCCCAGTGGTGCCTAGATCAACGCCTGAACGGTCAGCCTCATCGTTGTCTAAAGCGCTTAGACAAGCATACTCACTGCGTTCGGTTACATGATTCACCTAAAAAGTTGAAAGTTACGGATTTATTACTTACTTTCATTGGTCGGCCAGCCAACTCAAACCCGTTTAATTGATCCAGTGCTTTTTTAGCGTCATCACTATTAACGTACGTTACGAAGCCATAACCTTGCGAACGATTGGTAGTAGGGTCCTTGATTAATTTTATATCCTCTATCTTTCCAAATGGCTCAAATATACCTTTTAACATTTCTTCAGTGATGTTGTAATGCAAAGAACCTATGTATAATTTCATCGGCCCCCTGTTCTGTTGCGACGGCCGAGGCAATGAGGGAGTAGCGCTTACCCGATTCTTCTCAGCATGGCTTTGTTGGATCTGAATTGGAACGCCTAATAAGCGAGTGCCGGTAAGTCCAAGGGCCAGCTGAGCTGACTCTACTTCACGGAATTCAACATAGGCTATGCCTTTTGATCTTTTGGTTTTGTTGTCCATGATTAGACGAACATCTCTGATTTTACCCACTGAAGTGAAGAAGTCCTCCAAATCTCGTTGTCGAATGCGCGCAGACAGCTGCCAAACGAACACAGTCCGTGCGTCTCGCTCTTCTGGACTAAGTTCAGGACTACAAACCAAAATAAATAAGGTCACAAAGGAACATACGATTTCTGACGTCTTTCAGTCCGCGACGATCTGTGGTCATCTCTACTAGACCTATGTCGATCCCGGTCACGCGAACTATGGCGGCGTTCATGTCGTCCCCGGTCGGATTCAAGATTTTTATCCCGTCGACGTTCTTTGCTTCTGCTGCGCGACTTATGTCTGAAAAATGCAACTTGTCGAAAGCCCAGAAACCATACCTTCTACTTCGATCCCTGGAACGTGAACGACCACGTCTTCGATGACCATTGGACTTCGAGTAGCCCTATTGAGCGACAATATTAGCAGATTCAGGAGGTGGAAAGGAATAAAAAAGACAGGCAAGAAAATAAATACTTTCGTAAAACATACCGAAACAATCTATTGATAACTACAGCTGAGGTGGGAAAGGGCCAGACGTCCACAACGACGTCAACGAGGATCGTAGACCCAGAGCATCCTAACAAAACATAAAGAATTTCTGTCAAAATTAGATAACATTATCTTGTGCCAGTCAAGGGACCCTAAACTTAGGACGAGTAAAACAAAACATACCTCCCGAGCGTAATGGTCCTCAAGCATCGCCTCAACGTCTATGTCGTCAGTCATTGTTCCCAGTTTGAGTGTCGACCAATGGTATAAGCCAAAACCCGTGGTCTAGCCAAAATAGAAGACGGAAGATTTGCTAGGACGTATCAACTTCTTGGGTGACAAATTACGCGGCGACCTGACGAACAACAAGCAAAGCCACCTTAGCTAAACAAAAGAAAGGTTTCAATATATAAAAAGCAGATTCCGAATGACTGAGAAAAAAATGGAAGAAAAAGGACTCTATACATCTGCAGTACTTAAAAGTATCAGCTCTCAGAGTTATATAAAGGCAACATCTCAGACTTTAAGTTGGAGGATTAAAGCCTTAAGAAAATTTTTGGTTGTGCACTCCTAGTCAGCATATTTGTTTAGTTAGTACTTATTTCACAAAATTCTTCCCTAGTCTTCTCACTACGGCGATATCTCACTGTGATGAGTCACTGAAAATGAGAAACCTCATATCTCAGCACTTTAGTTTCTCACGGTGGAAGCGTCCAATCTTCATATTATCTCCATATTCTTGTAGCAGAACATGATGCCGGCCTACTTGTTCCTAAATTATATATATTGCTCAGTCTCTTATTTTTTCCCAGTCAGTTTCAATTCCATTATATCTAGAGACACTCCAAATCCTATCCAAACCAATTTTCACTTAATGCTATATCCGTCCCGTTGTATCGAAGATAAACTGGCTTACATAAAAAAAGATTGGCCGATCTAAGTATAAAGTTTCTTGAAGTAGTGGGACCATTACCGCCCGAGTTAAACAGATACGTTATCACCAACATATTTAACACTGATTTCTTTGAACCAACCGAAACTTTCAATAACAGGACTAAACAGATAGGAAATGTTAAATAGATCACTCTACATTATCGAATTAAGATACGGCTAAGTCACAGAAATACTGTCACACATGGGATGAGCTACTGGCCTAAGTGATTTAATGATGGTTTATTCTTAAACCTTTTCCATCCTAGTTTCTACAGCAAGTACAAGCTTTAACGTTTTTCATGATAACACGGATGATGAACAAGCTGCATAGGCCTGTCGGATCTCGAATATTACCAGAACCTAGGAGAAGCTTCGTACAGGCCTAAAAAAGAATAGATCTCTACAGAAAACTCACCCTCCTTCATACCCATAATAGTTCTGCACTATCACGAGCTTCCTCAAAAGCCACTTGTGCAAGTGATCTACCTAATTACTTAAGAAATATAACCCTGGTTATCGTTGTTACCATAACACCTACAGCAATTCATCTGGGCAACTCCAGAATACCGTGACCCCAAAATTACTGAGCATAAATAATGGTTTTTCGTAACACTTCTAAATTACAGGCCATTCAACAGCCCCGGATATCCTGACTGCATAATTTCTGTATAAAGGATAACCGTGACCGGCGCCTTAAATCGGCCAAAGAAGACTTGACTCGACAACTGCGGATCACTGCCTTGTAGCCCACACTCAGAGCACTACAGCAACGTTGAAAAGCATGATTATCTTTTCAAAAATGGACTTCATGGAAACACATAACAAAGTTTTAATCGTGAACGATGACATTTCCAAGCAGTCATCGTAGTTCTCTTCAGCCCTTAAGAAAATTCACATGTTCACTTTGAACTACGATACACAGGACAAACTTCCAAAACCATCAAAGATATTATCGGAGGTCTCAGCTTTCGCACACATACACTGAAAACTGCTTCATGAAAGTAAATTTAGGTAACCCTACCTTCAGCATTTGAATGACACTAACGACAAGACTACGTGTTCTTTATGACGCAAGGTAGCCGCCGTTTTAGACTACTCGAAAACAACCATAATCGATAACCTGTGAAGTTCCATTGGAATAGCAGTTCGTACCTACTGTGGGTCTTTCATGAGAATACTGAGAGTCCAGCATCATAAGGATGCAAAAATAATTAAGTTAGAAAACATGTAGATCAGTTAACTGTACTATAAACTGGTCATCTGTGTATGCTCGCCATGATACTCAAACTTGTTTTAGCTTGTTGGGAGCGCTTATTACCGTACACATGTAGTTGGCCTTTACAATTTTCATCATTTACTTACCTATTGCCTTATGGTTTCCGTAACTTACCTTCGAGTGGACCAAGTTGAGCTATAGATCGACATTTTCTAAGTCTTATTGGGTCCGGATTTAATGAAACCGTTTAAAGTGAGAACAGAGTTTGTGTTTTGATATAACTTAAGGTGATTTGCTGAAAAACGATTCGCATGTTGTATAGAAAAACGTAGATATGGTCAAATCAAATAAACTTTGGTTTGTTGGCTCTGAATTCAGACTGAATATTGGAATTTTGGTCGTTACAATCAGTTTACGTCACAAACCAGACATTTGGATAGTATAGGTGATGGTTCTGAATCTCAAGAGTTTACGGATGCTATGTGGACAAGGCACTTCTGTGGCATCTGATGCATCTGTAGTCTCCATGTTGAGGATGAATTCCTTGAATAGCTTCAAAGGAATGAAATTTGTTGGACTTGTCTAACTTTAAAAAGAATACGTTGACCTAAAGCACGAGTTATAGTCAACAATACTCAAAATACAAATAAACCAGACGAAAACGGGTAAGGAAACCTTACTATAAAACACATCTATTGATAGAGGTTGTTCTCATCTGACAAAACATCACTGTCACAACTTTTTAAATACGTCAACTAATTAATTTTGTCTAGGACTTCGAACGACTGACAGTCTCATTGTTGATGGGCTTTATTGACCTAGAATGAATACGTACCAGCGGGATTGGACACGCTCCTATTTGAACTGTCAAATATTTAAAGTTACTAAGCATGTTGAATACCCCTTAGATTCATGAAGTTCGTTTCAACCATGTTTATCTTCATCTGTTAGAACCGACGTTCACCAAATGGATACCATTATCTCTTGATACGTACCAACTATTTCAAATATTGGCCAAAATAAATATCTATCGAGCCCGCTTCGATGTAGAAAGATGGGTCCCAAACCTTGACTGAATCCAAGCTACAACGACTGGATGTGGAAACCGGTCCTCATCTGCCTTCTTTCATAAAACCATTTGGCGCCGCGCGACTCTGAATGACTGCCAACCACCGATGGTCTAGCGGTGTACAACAAACGATTGGCCTTTTTTGATTTGTTTTTTATGGTTACGAAACGCGATAAACGTCAGTTTTAGATAAAGTTCAACCTAGATGACTTACGATTAGACACCTCGACTTTCGGCTGAACTCATACATCCTTCTCCGGCTTCGCTAAACATGGCTTTAGGTTCCTATGTGAGCCTGATTACAAACGCTGTACATTCAGTAGAGTCTCTCTCAGCTGAAGACACTAAGATGACATATTTGTTTGTATTGCCCCATCATATTACACTTTCATTTTTCAGGCAGTGACTCAATACGTTGTTCCCCTAAATCATTTCATGGAAGGTCTCCAAACGTCCTGTATAAGAAGTCAAAGTAATATTAAGTCAACGAGAATGGAACTGAAGGTAATGTCATCAGCAAATATCTGAAGGCCTCTAAATTGCAAGGCATCCTCTTTCTTGATGAGCTTTCCACCAAACTGTCTAACAGCAACGTAACTATAGGAATCACAACACGTGCTTTGACAAATAAAGACCTCAAGAAATCTTAATAGTTTCTAAGACCCACCTCAAATCAACACGAAAAACTATTTTGCATAATATTATTTTGCCCTTCCTTCCTTTTTCGCTCAGTTTGCACGTCCCACGGCATCGGTATTGCATGGTCAGTATTCAACACATTTCAAGTGCTCAGATTCAAATGTTCAATCCAAGCTATTGTAGTCTAGATTTCTGTCCAGCTCTCCTCCGCCACGATGAGAAGTTAGCGACCGCTCATTCTCCGCTCGTAAAGGTAAGAAACAGCTGCTGAGTAATAAAGGGCACTGAATATAAGATTTGGACTGCATTTGTACGGCATTTGACTTTTGTTGTACTTTCGTTATTTGAGTTGGATGTTTAGGATTGAAGCTTTCATTGTTCTTCTGAGCAACATCCTGAGAAAAAAATTTCAGACAAAAATGAACCATGAACCGATTGATGTTAGACCATCACAATTGAAAACCTGGAAGTACTGAACGGCCGTTTCGTCCTATTGTGGGACTCCTCAGCAGTGCGCATCCACGATCCCGCGAGCAGGATTCGAACCCAGGGCCTTCGGTCTCGCGCGCGAACGCTTAACCAACTGGACCACTGAGCCGGCACCCAATGGTGATAGTTTCTAACATCAACCAATGCACAAAATCGTGCGACCATCTTCTCTTGTACTGAGGTAGATACCTGTCTCTACCCGACATGGATTAGCTCCACCGGTCACGGCTTCTCACTAGAACTCCGAGAATTCCCTCACGAAGCTAGTCACTGGTGAGCACATGTTAATTACTAGTATAGGGGTTGTGGATGCGCACTGATGAGGAGCCCCACAATAGGACGAAACGGCCGTAAAGTGCTTCCAGGTTTTCAATTGTGATGGTCTAACATCAATCGGTTCATGATCTCAATCAAAAACTTAATAATCTCCACAACCCTTATACTAGTAAAAATGAGCCATTTGAACTTCTCCACATACGGTAGACAGCTTTTTCTGATGACCTTGATCGTGATCAGTTATCGCCGACCCTTAAGTAGTCTCCTGGGTTATTCAACAAAATTAAACAATTTAGTACACAATTCATCATACAGATCAATTTCGAAAAAACTCCAAACTGTAACTATTCTAAAAGAGATGGTGGTGTTCTGATCATTAATCATACAACAATTTTCCACACTTTTCATGACAGTTAATGACGATCAGTTTTTAGAGACCAGCAATCGAACCAGGTCAAATCCATTTGATAGCAACTAAGATTAGAGGTTAGGTGAAATCAACATTAACTTGGCATGTGAAGACTACGTAATCAGTTAACAATTTGGAAAAGTAAGGACAGTCCCATCACGTACCAAACATTTAGCGGAATGCGTGACTGAAATACTCAAAATAAC